AAGGCTCTTCTACAACAATTGTTTTAAAACAGTAGTTACGGTCAATGAATTATTTTTACAAAACTTGATTTTATTTATCCAATAAAGTTCTCGTGCATGAAAATATTGCTCGACATGTTCCCTTTTTCTGATCTTAAATCATTTTTTTTAATCATTTAGTAGTTTTCTATCTTATATAATTTATAAACTTTTAAGCCACATGTTGTCATTAAGAGGACATTTTGAGGTCTTATACTGGGAAACTTTTCTGTCATTCAAGGTGACTTTTTGAGGTCTTATACTGGCGACCTCAACTTTCATTAAGATGATCATCTTTTAAAAAAAAAAGTCAGCATCCGTTTATTAAAATTTAGACATTACCAACTAATCATAGGAATATCACTGAATTGTGTCAAACAAGACAATAACTTAATAAGGGGGGATTACAATTAAATCCTTGAAAACTGTAACCTACCATCGCTGGTTAGCTCTCTTTCATTTACGATGTTGCCCTTTGCCAGTGAAACGTAGGCTTGTGTCTGTCCTAATGACCAGTGATAGGCTGGTCATAGGGTAAATGCTTGCCTAAAGATGATACAATGGCCCCGATGGGCGTTTTGGTAAACCCAGTCCTGTGGTTGATAAACAAGATAGATTGGCTTAAGGCGACTTGCTTGCAAGCTATAGGCTTGCCTGAAGGTAAAACACTAATGCCAGTGATATGCTTCCCGAATGTTTGCGAGATGGCATGCTGGCTTTAAAGTTTTGTTTTTTTCTATTGCTAGTTATATGTTGTAAGTAATACATTTGTAAGCGATACACTCGCTAATACTTGTTACTTTTTGGTGCGAATATTCTGTAGACGTCAGGAAGTCAAATATGTTTCTTTTATTGCCCTCATTGACTCCTGATTTATTTCGCAATTCTAATAAATAATACTTTTTTTTTTCTAACTATGGTGACGTTGTGTACGAGAACTTTTCCTCTCTTGAATCCAAAAAAAAGCTTTATTAAAAAAAAACAATGTAATTTTTTTGAATGAATAAAATAGCGAAACGAGGTATGTGGAAGCTTGAAATAAGGTAACAGGACAAGAAACAAGGACGTTTCGGCATAAAGCCTTCATCAGCCAAGGAAATATAGACTAATAATCAAATTCTAAACAGATCTAGTGACAACAAGGTAAGGACAAATACATACAAGTAGTAGCAGTCAAGTGTCAAGGACAAGAAGAAATAAATGAAGGGACTGCTTTCAAGCTTAGTGAATGAATAAAATAGCGAAACGAGGTATGTGGAAGCTTGAAATAAGGTAACAGGACAAGAAACAAGGACGTTTCGGCATGATGTTTGACCTTAAGGTATAGCAGATGAAGAACATAGATATACCACACCAAGTAACTCGTAAATTTTAAAGTCAAATTTGAACACTGACACAAATAATAGAAATATTTCTTTTAAAAATATCATAATAAATATGTTTAACAAAAACATTTTCCCCTCACAAGGACAATAATTCTCATACGGATGATTCGTCTATAGTCTGTCAGAATGTAAGAGAGTTAATATAAGCTTTACTTTACCTCATAATAAGGAACCAAAGTTATAGAAACCTCACATCCGAATAGCCACTTCGTTAGATTATTTGACGTCATCAATCATTTTTTTTTCCTTTAAAATTTTAATCTCAAAGTTGACTGGTTCCTACAATATTTTAAGCAATTTAATTAGTGTAAATAGTCATTTATGTTTAGGCTTTTAACAATATAGGCGTTATTTAATGCGTGTCTGCCTGTGTGCACTGCAGATGGCTGGTCAGAATGTTAGCACACTTTGTTAGTGCAAGAGAAGTCAAAAGTTGGCATCCCTTCACCTGTCATTTTTCTCTTAATCCGCTCCCTAGAATGATTAACACATCACTGTACACGGCGTTCAATTTTTGTTAAGAAAACACCGTCTCATCGGTGTTTAATAACAACTACACCAACTCTAAAACAGAGATAAGCTTCTGGCAATTATTGCTCACACAAACAATGCTTCGATTTTCAGTGCTGAATGGTTAGATAAGGATGATGTTGACTTGTCTGGTATATCATTTCCGCCAGATGAAAATGATAAATCAGCTACTAAAGACTGTGCCCTTCAGGGGCGTCATTTCAGTTGTTTTTTTCAAGGGAAGGTGGGGTGGGAGGCGCCAAGTACATAGCTATTAAAATAATACCAGCCAAATCGGTGGGGGGGGGGGGGAGGAGGGGGGGCAAATACCCGCCTGCTCTACCCAAATGACGTCATGATGTCAATTGTTACGATAAAACAACACCTGCTTGAATTTGTTAACGAAAATTACTCATTTTTTATCTCACAAAATAGTGATTCCCCCTGATAATCCGAAAAACAAAAGTAAGTCCGACAGTCCTACTGATAAGTCCTAACACATGTCCTAAATAATCCAAATATGTAAATTTGATTCCACTTTTGATCACACTTAAAGTATCCCACTAACTATAATGAAACGCTTTATGTCAATGGTTTACCTTACGTTGTCTTAAAGCAGACCTGCACAACTCAAATGTAAGGTAGGCCGTTATACTTTATTATAAAACTCGTGCGGGCCGTAAAACTTTATGCAAAGCTTGTGCGGGCCGAAAGATCCGTAAAACTTTATGCAAAGCTTGTGCGGGCCGAAAGATAATAGGACAGAGGCAAAAAGCTATTAAGAAAATAATAATAAAAAGAAATGTTTCGTTACTTCGCGGGCCGCATAAAGGATGCTGGCGGGCCACATGCGGCCCGCGGGCCGTAGGGTGTGCAGGCCTGTCTTAAAGTTCAATTATTTATTTGGCACAAGATGAAACAACCAATGTTAGCTAATAATAGAACAGTATAAGGAAAAAAAGTTTCGAGGGGCAGCGTTAAAATACTTTGTTAATATTAATTTTTTTCTTCTGAAGAGACGGTCGGCCGAAGAGCCCTTTTAATTGTGTTGTCTTTTTATTAAGCCTAAACACAATGATAGAGCTACATTGTGATCTGGAAAGACTAAAGTTTTTAATTTCAAACATATTGTTTTCTCTTTTTTTAAATATTTTTTTATTGGCAGCTGAAGAAGGCGTTTAGCCGAGAAGTCTTTTTAATAGTTGTGCTTTTTTTTTTTTCCAAGCCTAAGCCTATCCTTTTCCACTATTTATTTCCAATGATAGCTACATGTGCTCGGTTTCATTAGAAAAATTGGAGTTTCAATATATTTAACAAACCTACTAAATTAAAATTTCTATTTTACTGAAAAGACACACACACACACTTTCTTTTGCTTCATTTGGACAAAGTGAATGTAACATTTCCATTGTAGGCATCTTAAGCTCAGACCTGGCCGATGCAACCCAAAAAGTGAAAGAACTGAGTGATAGTCTTGCTGGCACTGGTAAGACACAAACACGTGAATGATTAAATACAGTCTTGGAATACATTAATCGCTGAAAGAAATTCTCAGATGAACGTCGGCATGTTTAAGTTAAAAGTTGATGCCCCCAAAGGGCGGATGATAAATGTATCGTTTTTTTAAGCACTGCAGTGAGGTTTTTTCTTCTTCTGGATTTCATTGCAAATTGAAATCGTCTTGGGATTATTTTCTTTTTGGTTGACCTCAGGAGGAAAAAAAATTAATTTATTGTGTTCGATTTTAAGAATCAGATTTTAAGAGTTTAATCAGATTTAAGAGTTTAAATAATTGAATCGAACTTTGTATCTCAGCCTCAGAGGAAGACGTGGCCAGCGTCATCAAGGAGGTCACAGACACACTCGGAGGAGACACTGCGATATCCGCTCTCTTTGACGGTCCGTTAAGTTCAATAATTACGAGCTGTTCTCTTTGTGTTCGAACTTTTTTTTTTTTTTCATGGTTGAGAGTTACTGTTTCAAGTTATGTGGACAATTTGAAAACCAGCGAAATTTAATTGCAAGCTATTTCCACTAAACATACATTATGTTTTTGAAAGAATTAAATTATTGACCCATTCATACAGCTTTTGATTTTTTTAAACAGACAAATTCAGGAAAATAGTATTTAATCTCACAATTAAGCTTTAACAAAAGACACAATGGTTTCAAAATAATCCCTTATTTTTGTTTTTTTCTTTGTAGATGATCTGAGATACGGAGATAATGTATTGAACAAAGGTCTTTCACTGCTGAAAGGTCTGGTTGATAAAGGTCGTGAACTGAAAGGCAAGTTTATTTGGATTTCGGGGTATTTCAAATCATGAGTCCTTATGACGTCATCAACTGAAGTTTAAAACGTTTTAATTAATGATTACCCCATGCTCTGTTTTGAGATAACTTTAACAGTCTTTAACAAAAAGCACCTTTGTAACCCAAAGTATGCAATAACCGGGCCCAAACCAGGTCAATTATGTGTTATCAAGTTGCAACTTTAGAATGCGACAAGTTAAGAATTTGACAAGTTTAGAATTTGACAAGTTTAGAAATAGAGAAGAGTAGAATTTGAGAAGCTTAGAATTAGAGAAGTTAAGAATTTGAGAAGTTTAGAATTAGAGAAGTGTAGAATTTGAGAAGTGTAGAATTTGAGAAGTTTAAAATTAGAAAAGTTAAAATTAGAGAAATTTAACGGGAATCCTTTAACGCTCCTTCCTAAAAAAAAACAACAGCCACCTGTGCCCATCCGTTCGCCAGCCCACCAAACAACAGCCACCTGTTCCCATCCGTTCGCCAGCCCACCAAACAACGGCCACCTTTTCCCATTCGTTCGCCAGCCCACCAAACAACAGCCACCTGTTCCCATCCGTTCGCCAGCCCACCAACCAACAGATAAACAGACTGCCTCCACTTCTGACCATTCGTGTTTTGAGTACCATTCGCCACTGTATCTTGATAAGCTCATATAAAAAGCCGTAGGCCCCCATCGTAAACCAAGCTACTATTGTCAGCTTTAGTAACAAACCAAGTGAAGAGTAATTAGTTTCAACACCTCTCCTCCTATATATGTATATAAATATATTTTACATAACTTAAGAGTGAATCGCAGGCATAACGCAAATCCTGCAGGAACAAATCTGAACTATTTTTTGAACGTCTAGAAGAGAACTACGGCATTCATCGCATCTGATCCTAGTTCTCAACGATGCAGTCCACGTTATTCATCACCTTCTTCATCATCGGCTTCTTTGAGAATGTGAACTCTGTCAGGGTAACTATTGGCCAAAATTATAATCTAGTGTGGGGATAACTTTTAAGGGCACGGGTATCAAGAGGTAAGATGCGGGACGGTGGTCTCATACAATGTGGTAAGGCTTAAGGGACACGTTTGTGAAAGAGAGGATGTTGGCATGGAGACTTGAAGACTCTTTGAGTAGGTTCATCGGTAGGATAAACTTGGTATGAAGTGCAGGGAATAATGATGGGCGAATAATCATGAAGGAAGAGGAATGTTATTTCGTATCTGTGCTCTTAGCAGAAAGTGACCAACTTTTGCCTTATAAATCATTTCAATAAATTGGAAAAAATTTACACAATAAGTATGTACAATGTAATTGAAATACATTTCCATTTATTTGAATCCATAAAATCATTCTATCTTTTCATTTATGTATATTATATAGTCTCAACATCTATAATTTAAAAAAAAAAGGATAACTTATGGGATTTAAAATAGGGCATTTGATCTTTTATGATAAAAACTTGACATATTTATTTCTTGCTTATAATCCTAAATCCGTACACAGTATCTGCGCAGAGATGCAGAAAACGACCGTGGCCCCGAGGCAGTGTTTGACTTGATTTTTGAGACGTTAAAATCTGCAAGCAAAGGTTGGTAGGCTTGTTGGTAGGATTGCCTGTGTCTTTCTATGTCAACATTTAATTTTGTTTCTTCACTTCATTTCTATGTTGTTAAGACTGTGATCGATTGTTTGCTGAATGGACAGAAAAGTTCGACATTGCATGGTTTGTCGACAATGCATTCGCTATATCATGTCAGCTGTTAGAATCGCGGCCGTGAAGGAAAAAAAACCAATTTAGTGTTCTTGGTTACAATAAAATCCCATCGCCGTCGTTGGTCCTAGGAACTTGTATACATTTCTTACGCTTTCGCGTAGTGTTGAGAGGAGGTCGCGACGAGTCCGTGCATTAGTGTCTCGTTTGATCAAGACATGCAAGAACTTGCGGAAGCAGCAAGCCATTCGAACACGTAATTCAAGTCCAACGTCTCAACGTGACTGCACAGATTCCAATAAACAAAAAATTGTAACCGACTCAGTTAACCAACATGTTTTTTTGTTTGTGTAGCAATCACTACAATCTGTATTTATGAATAAATGAACTAAAAGATGAACACATATTTATTACAGGTATAACTTAGAATTTTCAACAAAAAAATAGAATTCAATCTATAACACATCCATAAAAATGATTAACTGCATCAACCAATATAAGTCTAATCCTAAACGATTAATGTAACCGCTGGTCATCATTAGCCAGTACAAGAAATTATAAAAGATGAACAATAACTGATGTGACGTTTTCAAAATATTTGTAGCACATAAACAGGATCCAACTATTGGACTTAAAAAAAAAAGACATTCATCGGGAATTTAAAAAAAAAAAATTAAAATTCCATCGGCAATTCGCCTTATCGGCGTATAAAATAAGATTTTAAATTTTGGTAGAAAAAATTATAAGAATGGCGCATAACTTCTTTTAAATCGGCGTATAAAATAAGATTTTAAATTTTGGTAGAAAAAATTATAAGAATGGCGCATAACTTCTTTTAAATAAGTTCGCATTTACAACCATTCTAATGCGTGCTAAAGAATTTCACAGTTTTTATCCTTAAGTATTGTTATTTTTCTCTTGCAAATCTTAAATTGAATCTTCCCACTAATCTCGATCCCAAAATGATCATAAGTCCGTGTGTTCATGTGTTAAAAAACAGGTAATGTATTTTGTGTCTCCTTTTCCAATTGATGAGGACGATAGTGTTGAGGATTGCTGTAATAACAAACCCTAATATTATCACTGTTAAAAATGTTTACAATCTTACATTATAAATTAAGTTAAACGTCTCTGTTGTAAAAAAAGGATGTTTCTTTCAAATGATACACTTGAGGACTGTAAGAATCAAAATTACTATTAAACTTTTGTGTCCTCTATCGTCTAGGTACCACAAGCTCTGAGCTGGCCTCGGCAGCTAGGACCGTAATAAAGGACAGTGATGCGCTGTCTGGTGATGGTACGTAAATCAATTTAACATCCACTGTAGGAGTACGCAATCCCCTTGGAAAACCACCAATTCGTGGTTTTAAAACTGTGCTTATATGCGGTGTGGTGACCTTTTGTTGTATTTGGGGTGAGATCTGTTGTTGTTTTTTGTTGTTACTGTTGAAACAATATGGTATAAAAAAAACTTAGAATATACACATGAACAGATATGACAACGTTTTGATGGCTTACAACGAACACTAAACCAATACACGATAAATAAAAATTAGGATGAACAAACCAATGCATAGCTCCAGGCACTATTACGTTGGACATTAAACACCCATCCCAACGGATAAAAGTAAACCAAAGAAACAAAACAGTATCATAACATTAACATTCTTTTAATATAAATGACTTCCCTTTGTCACCTTGTGAGAATCACCGATACTAGTAAAACAACTACAATATAAGCATATATATAAGGTGTCTCCACGTCTTATCGGTTGTGAACAGCATACTGAGCCGTCAGTAGTCTAACAGTCATTTATAAACTCAAAATTTGAATGAAGATTAACCCGTGACTTCACCATGTTCAAAAAAAATATTCTTTTTTTTTAAATAAAACAACACAACACTATATATATTTTTCGTAAGCAAATAACATTCACTAACGAGAGTAATAGTATATCGCTTTGTAGTCCGGGTGGACTGGGATGGGCACAGCTAGAGGAATAAAATCATGTAAACCCAATAACACTTATGAACACTTTCACTCTGTTCGATTGCCATCATAGTCGGCGAGGATGGTAAAAACTGATTTTATAGAAGTATTGTTGCAAGTTTAGAAACAGGCACTGAGAAGTATGTTTGTTTTGCCCCCTAAATTTTTTCATTGTCTGCTTTTACATTCCGTGAGAAAAATGGTTAAAATACTAGATACCAGAACAAGGTATGTGGTAGTTGACGCTTGAAATAGACAGACAGGACAATACAAGAAGAAATTTTGTCCACCAGACATTTTCAGCATACAAGACAGATATAGAAATAACGAGAAATAGAAAGTAGTTTTAAAAAAAAGGTTCAATGTTCGCCAGTAATGTTCTTACGGTAAGTTGGGTTTTCCCAAATCGAAGGTTACTGGAAGTAAAAGAACTTACGTATCCTTACTGTGAAAATTAAGATTTTAACGCACAAAAATATTCTGGGTACCAGCCTAGTCAAATAAAGACACGCTAGCTATTCCATCTTTATTTTTGAGCACCGTGTCATTTTATTTATATTTGAAATTTCAAGGAATGGTAAAATTAACATTTATTCATGCACTGAGGCTAACCCCATCTAGGGGCTAGGTCTAAAAGGGCGAAATCCATCATACAACCACACGCATTATAAGTAACGCCGTAAAAATTCACCCGGGTTGCTACTTCTTTGCACTTTCTTAGATACGCAGCCGTATAATTTTCTCTTTTGTAGGACGTAGGATAGCAGCGTCTTCTTAAATTTAAAAAAAAAGTTTTACTTGTGGGTGGATACTAGTAATAATGATCCGTCAATTTCAACGGGCTCAACATTTTTCTCATGGGAAAAAAATTGTAATTGACAATATTTCATAAATGTGTGCCTAGCTTTTACATTTTTATGTACACATATCTATACATATATTTATTTCTTATATTTATACATATATTTATATCTTATATCTATATCTATATATTTATATCTTATATCTATACATATATTTATATCGGAGGACGCAATCTAACTATTGTTGGAGAGACTTTACCATTACCTAGACAGTCCTAAAACATATGCCTAAGTGCTATTCTTAGACTTCTCATCAGCATTTAACACTATCCAACCACACCTTATGATAAAGAAACTTTCCTCGTCAGGTGTCAATTTAAATATTCAGGCTTGGATACTGAACTTTTTTAACAAATCGACCATAATATGTCAAAGTAAATAACCAAGTATCTCTAACCAGAGAAATAAGCACAGGGGCACCACAAGGCTGCGTTCTCTCCCCTGTACTGTATACAATATATACAAATGCTATTCAAAGCTCAAGCAACACGGTTCCAATCTTAAATTTGCTGATGATACCACCATTTTTGGCTTTATATCTGAAGGAGAAGGCCTATACCGTAACTTAGTAACAAGCTTTATCAATTGGTGCGATGAAAATTTTCTCCAGTTAAATGTCTCAAAATTGAAAGAAATGATTGTTGATTTCAGGAGGGGGAAACACCTGATTACAGATCTCAACATAAAAAATCAAACAGTGGAGAAAGTGGAGGCGTACAATTACTTAGGTGTCACCATTAATAATAAGCTAACATGGCATGAGCACGGCCAAATCCTGTATAAGAAATTCAACCAAAGAGTGTTCTACCTCAAAAAAATGTACAATTTCGGCGTAAACAAGCAAGTCGTTAACTTATTCTAAAGTGCAACAATTGGAAGCCTGCTTAATTTCAGTATTACCTGCTGGTGAGGGAATTCATCGTCTGATATTAAACACCCCATAAACCGACTAATCAAGAAAGCTAGAAACATAACACAAACTAAACATCCTTCACTTGAAGAACTATTTGAAGAAAGATGTTATTGTAAAATTAAACACATTTTGGATGATACATCCCACCCTCTTCATCTTAGATACTTAGGATCGGGCCGTTCGGCACGAATTCTTTCCATCAGGGCGAGGACTGACCGATATAAAAATTCTTTTGTTCCCCAATCTGTACGAATTTACCGGCGTGCTTCCTCTGAAGTCACACATCTGAATGAGATCTAATAAGTCCCTGATTTTGCTAAGAGAACTCACTGAATGGCTGTTTGAAATAATTTATTATAATTGTCTTGTGTTCAAATTGTTTTATTTTTGTGCTGAAAATGTATAATGCAATCAAAAAACATTTCCATTTATTTGGATCAATAAAATAATCTTAACTTATCTTATCTTATCTTACACATATATTTATATCTTATACCTATACATTTATTTATATCTTATCTCTATACATGTAGTTATCTAGCTAACTGAAGACAGTGTTTCGTTTCTTGTCCACAGCTTCGGCTCAGGATGTCGACAACATTATTCAAGAAGTTGCAGAGTCGATCAATTCCTCCACCGTCATCACGTCACTTTTTGACGGTTAGTAAAACAACAAAAACACCGCTCTTATTTCATTTCCAGATGTTCTCCTTGATGTCTTCATCCTAGTTTCCATATTAGAAATTTTAAACTATAGGAATTTGTGTGGGGAACTTGAAAGACGACGAAATTGAAAAAAGAACAAATCGGCTACAAAAACTTTTTCTGTGAAAATAAAAAGGGGGAAAAATAAAGAATTAGGTGTGCGAGGTTTCGAGTTTCGACTTTTTTCCGTCTACCCCCCTACCCCCAGTGATTTAAATTTCATTTTTGCTTAAAACAAGATTAGAGCCTTCACCATAGTATACTTTCTTAAATGATTTCATTCTAAATGTATTTTATAAAATAAAAATAGTGTTCTTTGGTTTGAGCAGATGATTTAAACTTCGATGCTAAGGTCATCAATGACGCCCTGGCTCTATGGAAGGGTCTAGCACTGAGAGGACTTGAACTGTCTAGTGAGTCAATTGTGCTTTTATTGTATACACGCTGATGATATATACACCCGATAGACTCCCCCTTTCCCTCCCCCCATCATGCTAAAACAATATTTAAAAATAATTTTCACCCAGAAACCAAACAACCGGGAAGTGCAGACCTTGTCACTTAGCAAGGTACACGGTTATAGTCAGACAGACTGTGTCACTTAGCCAGACAGACTGTGTCACTTAGCCAGACAGACTGTGTCACTTAGACAGACAGACTGTGTCACTTAGCCAGGCAGACTGTGTCACTTAGCCAGGCAGACTGTGTCACTTAGCCAGGCAGACTGTGTCACTTAGCCAGGCAGACTGTGTCACTTAGCCAGGCAGACTGTGTCACTTAGCAAGGAAGACCGTGGCCCTTAGCAAGGCGCACCATGTCACTTAGCAAAGCACCGGTGTAAGTTATGAAGTCACTAGAACTAGACAAATTGAAAGAAAGTATATCAAACTGTATCTCAGCTGTCCTTATCTCTAATCCCCAGGCTAGGAGCGTATTCAAAAGCTACACATAAACTACGCAATTCCAGAAACAAACAAAAATCTTCAAAATTTACAAATGGAAAAAAAAAATTCCAAAGAGTCCATAATTCTACATCTTCCTATTCGATTTGTTTTGGTCATATCATTTCAACTAATATTGATTTCATGCATTTATTTTTTGTTTACCTTTATGGCACAAATGACTTTTATATTACTACTCTTTTCAACAGAGTCCAGCAAACCTACAGGACATGTCATGGCAGCTATTAGCAAGACAGCGAAAGTTATTGAAGCCGTTTTACGAGACATAGGTATGTCTCCAAACACTTTTGTACTTTATAAAAGAAATGGCCATCGATTGCGTGCTATGGATTAATATAGCAAATAATGAATCGAAGCTAAAAGATAAACAAGATACTTGAATGTATTGATGTTCATGTTGGTCACAGTTTGGCCCCATAAGGAAGTTCTGTCAAGTAAAACAAACACATATCCATGGCAGTGTGTGGAGTTAATGTGTATCGTTTAGTGATGCCCACAATTTATGAAGAACAGACGCAGTTTGATAATGCGTTTTTCTTTAATGTTTTTCTTTAATTTCCCCACTATCTTGGCGTGACTCTTAAACGTGTTCTACTAATTCAAACCAATGAAACAAAATACTTTATATTAATACAAGTTATGTAGAGCATAATCTTTATAGGCGCATTCCATTGAAATTTCAATTTTTGGTTTAAGATGAGATCGTGAACTACGAGGAGTCCCAAAATCCAAATAAAGGAACCACTGGAGAACTTAACAAAGACGCTCTTCTCATTTCTGGAGACGGCAATGAAAATGCGACCAGTCAGGTGAGGTGAAAAATGCGAAGGTGTAACCATGCACCTATTCACTTTAACAAAACTGTAAAAGAAACTATATAAAGTCTACATTTTCAAGCATGAAAAAATTGAGATATAATGATAAAGTACAATTGATTGAGAGTCACATTCAGAGCAAATTTAGTTTATAATATTAAATGTAAATATCTTTAAAAAAACGTTTTACAGTTCTCAAAAAATGATAATTAATGATCATTTTTTTTTCTTTCCAATAAAAAAATTCGATTGGATGTCTTCATGGTAACATAGTTTTAGTAGTACTTTGAAGTAGTGCTTAAAATTATCATAAGACATTCTAAGAATTTGTTCTGATTTTATTATTATTATCGCTTTGCATTTTTCCTTTTTTCTCCTCTAAAAGTAAATTATAAAACATAAACATGATTTTTTTTCTTTCAGGACACTTCAAACAAGATTGAGAAGAGAGGTGAGCAAAATAAATATTTTTTCTTGTAATTTGGGGGAGGGGGGGTCATCTTAATTATTTCAATTCATTACCACTGCGCTGTATTTTAATTTTAATCATGTACAAAAATAAAATATCACTTGACGTGGTTATTATTAACTTTTGTTTGTTACCACAGGGATTTGCATTTCTTGGAGGTGGAAAGGGTGGAGACGGATTTGTATAAGATGGGGCTAGACCTGGCAAATTGCGCCCATTGTTTTAATATTGACTGTTCAAGTCGATTAATTTAATGAAAAAAATTAAACTTTGATTTTTTTGTTGAATTTTTTTTGTTTTTCTTTTTATGGTAATAAATATTCTAGAGATTACCTACTGCAAAGAACACATTTTTGTGTTAATGTTTTTTTTTTAAATGTTTGTGGTCTGTTTGAGAGCTTAATCAAATATTTCGATTTATTTTATTTTATTTTCGGGTGGAAAGAATACATGAGAACTTAATAAGTGGATATGAAACATTTATTACACATTTAAGTCGCTACCTGTCCCCTCTCATCACTTTTTCTTTTATCTTTTCCCAATGATAACATTTTTTCTATTCTAAGTCCTTTAATTCCTTTCATCACATTCCCCCTAACCTCTTGCTAAATACCAAACCCCGTCTCTATCCTCTCACCCAATGATCATACCCCCCCCCAAACCACTCGCACTAAACTCATTCCACCTTACCTTTCGCTCAGTATCACTTCCCCTTAATCTCTCCCTCAGCCCCTAACTCCATATGCATTCTCCCTAACCTCCCGCGCAATACCTATTCCCCTAACCAATACTTAATTCCCTAAACTCTCGCCCAATACATATACCCATAACCTCTCGCTCAGTACCTATTCCTCTAAACTCTCGCCCAATACCTATTTCCCAAAAATCTCCTTCAATACTCATTCCCTGTATCATCTCGCTAAGTACTCAATCCCCCAACCTCTCACTCAGTACCCATTTCCCCGTATCATCTCGCTAAGTACTCAATCCCCCAACCTCTCACCCAGTACCCATTTCCCTGTATCATCTGGCTAAGTACTCAATCCCCAAACCTCTCACTCAGTACCCATTTCCCCGTATCATCTCTCTAAGTACTCAATCCCTCAACCTCTCACCCAGTACCCATTTCCCCGGCTTTCTGGATAATTCCCTTGGTAGCTATCCATGAAATATATTTTTAAATGGCTGTTGTCCTATCCCTGGAACTTATAACTTAAAATATATCTGTGAATGAGTTACCTGTCGCTTAGATGGCAGTCTATTCATTACCTTGTTTTAAAACGAATAAAACCAGCTGTCACAGTAGCGTTAAAAAGGTGTCATTTGCCCCGCGAGGCACAATTTTGGAGACTGCGTTGTTTTATTTGCCACGGGTCAAGGTATATTACTATAGATTACGGTAAACATTCTATTTAGGACCTGGCTTTATTTAAGCCAGTTCATTCATTTGCTAAAAAAAAACCCTCAGTTCTACATTATGCTTAAAGCAATGATAATCCTTGAAGGAGATGGGGTTGGTAGGCATGTTTGAGCTATTAGAGATTGTCTGAAGTAATTATTTTAAGCTGATTTTTAAACGAAATTTATCTCGAGGAAGGAAATCCTTACTGTTTCAAAATAACCCAAAATCCATTGGACTTCCTGTAATCTTGGTTTTGGAAAATCCAATATCCGGGAATAACAATGGCATGCTCAACATGCATTTAACTAGTTCCTTTTTTCCGTGGCATTTTTATTTGCCCTACCTGCTGAGGAAGACTCTTAGCTGCAACCTTCTTTTCTTCTTGTCCTGAATTTTTATTCAAGCTTCCACATACCTGTTTCAACTAGTTCCTCCACACAACTTGAACACAGGCCTGCAGTTCGTATCCTTTAACATAGAGTACTTTGCCGTTGGGATTCATATTGTTTTTCATTGTTGTTAGATTTTAATTTATTTTTGATTTTCTGGTTCACGTGTTTGGTCCCTGTATTTAAACATTGTGTTTATTTGTTTTTCAACTTATCAGTAATGAACAACGTATACAATTTTTTTACCAACACAAATCTCCCACCTGTACCTTTGCCTTGGGCACAATACACAGGCTCCTTCAGGAACTTCCACGGCTTATGGAACATGGTTTAAGCTTTGTCCTCAAAGTTTGCTGGATGGCAAAGAAAATGATGGACCCAAGAAAACATAACATTTTAATATCAGAGTCATGTTAGTTGAATTGGAACCATATATCAGAGTCAATGTTTAATGAATTACAATAAGATTTGTATCAGAAAAAAACGTTTCCTCCAACCACCCCATTCATCACGAAGTGTAATGTAGTGTAATACATTGAACTGTTTTATATAACTGTCATACGTTGAACTTTTGATAGATAATTTTAATACATTGAGCCGCTGATCAATAATTTTTTGCTCTTTTTCAGTAAAAGTTAAAATAAATGTGAATCGTATGATTCTATTGTGTTATTCTCAAAGTGTAGGACTAAACTATTCTAAATACAGAAATACACTTAAACAGTTTTTTATACTGACACACCATTAAACGTGTAATAATGACATACACTATATTGTGTTACTAAAGATGCTCTTGTGGCAACGTACGTGTCACATTCTCACGTATTTTCAATCCTTGATTTAAAGAGTTGAAAACGTGTGTGTTGATGTATCAACATGCATTTAACAATGGGTACATTAAAAATATTCTTGACTACAGAGTTTCGTTTTTCTTTGGCTAGATGCATGCAATACATATATCAAGACGTTCTTAGCTTCTTCCCTAAACCAAACAGCTACGTGGTCCCCCCGATTATCGCCCTACACCTCCGTTTCTAATGGGAGATTGTTTTGTTTACACAAACACATTTTTTTGTATGCAGGTTGTGAAACAACATTCAATGACGATCATGCGCTGGACACCTTTTGATTTGGATCGCCAAAGCATCGTTCAAAAGAGGTTCAGCCCCACATTATGGACAGGACAAGTGTTTATCATTGTAGCGTCCCCTCCATGTGATGCAGAGGCTCAGCCCGACATTATGGACAGGACAAGTGTTTATCATTGTAGCGTCCCCTCCATGTGATGCAGAGGTTCAGCCCCACATTATGGACAGGACAAGTGTTTATCATTGTAGCGTCCCCTCCATGTGATGCAGAGGTTCAGCCCCACATCATGGACAGGACAAGTGTTTATCATTGTAGCGTCCCCTCCATGTGATGCAGAGGTTCAGCCCCACATTATGGACAGGACAAGTGTTTATCATTGTAGCGTCCCCTCCATGTGATGCAGAGGTTCAGCCCCACATCATGGACAGGACAAGTGTTTATCATTGTAGCGTCCCCTCCATGTGATGCAGAGGTTCAGCCCCACATTATGGACAGGACAAGTGTTTATCAGTGTAGCGTCCCCTCCATGTGATGCAGAATAATTTTGTTTTGGGATGACGCGTACCGCATTAATGTATTATAGATACTCACTATATGACTCAGACGGCATTATGTATTATAGATACTCACTATCTGACTCAGACGGCATTATGTATTATAGTTACTCACTATATGACTCAGACGACATTACGTATTACGGATCATGACTAACGAAGATGAACTAGCCATCAGGTTAAATCACTAAAAAAAAAAGTTAGATGATAACGGTGTTAGAGATATACTTTTACTTATCAAATAAGCTCTATGTATTAGCAATCACCGCAATCCCTTTGATCCTATACGCACAAAGAGACTACCGTGAGATGAAACCTTCTAGTATAACTTTTGGTTCACTGTGCGAAATGGGTGCATTCTATGATACAGTTCATGTGCGAAACAGGTGCATTCTATGACACACTTTGTGTGCAAAACGGCTGCATTCTATGATACACTTTGTGTGCGAAATGGGTGCATTCTATGATACACTTTGTGTGCGAAATGGGTGCATTCTATGATACACTTTGTGTGCGAAATGGCTGCATTCTATGATACACTTTGTGTGCGAAATGGGTGCATTCTATGATACACTTTGTGTGCGAAACGGGTGCAGTCTATGATACACTTTGTGTGCGAAACGGGTGCATTCTATGTGCCTTAAATATTTTATGCGGACTCTTTGTGTGTCATTGTTTTTGTTGTTTGTTTGTTGATGTTTTTTTTATAAATTTTTTTAAAGTGTTTGAGTGATCCTATTGTTTGCAATCCCAATAACATCTGTTAATCCCAACATCAGGCAACAACCTCCCCGCCACCAGTCGCACTTTTGAGATGTTTTGTATCGCACACCATAGAAACCACATGGTGTCCTACATCTGTTTTGTTACAAATGCTTTGCGAGTTGATTCAACAGCCTTTGACGAAATTGGTGACAACATCACGTTCTTGCACAGCAAGGTTGTTGGCAAACTGATTAATATTTACACGTCATACACTATATATTATTTTTTACACACAAACAATCAGAAAAGATCAGACGGCATTGCTGAACTGTACGGCCTGTTTCCATACAAGACAATTAACGTTTTCCACAAAAAATCGAGAGAAAATGAACATCAGGTTTGTGGTCCTCTTCACCTTAGCCATCCTTGGAGGTTCCTCTGCTGTCTGTACTTGGAAAACGTGGCGGAAATGGCCGGTAAAGTATGAATTATATTGAATTTGACGATGTAACAAAAACGGTTAGGTTTCTCGTTAGTTGATGCAATGGTGCTCTCTCAGTTTTGATGGCGATTGGCACCTTCGAGATTTTAAAATTAAATGTTAAAAAAAAAATTCAAATTGACAAACGCTTTCAATTATAGCAAGTAAAAATTAAAAGCAGAGTCGCCGCTACGGAATGGCAGAGGGGGGGGGATAAAACTTGGTCGCCAACTAAACATTGTCTGGTCATTCTGTGTAATTTCAATTTCGTTTTAAGGAAAATTTTGAAGGAGCCAACTGCAGTGTAGGATGTTCATATTTTTTTAAAAGAAATATAACTCACGGATTAGGGAAAAACCTCAGAAATCACACAGAAGAAAAACAACAACAACAAACGATAACTGATATTAATATGTACGAAAATAAGGTCAAATATGTCCTAAAATAAAATCAATTGACCAGAGATGTGATCAACACAGCTGAATGTCGTCTCATCATAACCTGGTGGTTTCAAAGTGACATTTTCAAGCACACGTTTTGTGAACAAGGTGAAGAATTGCTATTTTCATGGCAGTGTCTTTTTTTTTCTTTTGCCCGCTTCTTCGCTCGAGAGCTCACAGGGGGGGGGGGGGCTCATTTTTCTTCGCCCGTTCTGATCTCCCCCCGAAATCATGCTTCTCCAGAAACACTCTTTTGGTTTAAAAGTGACATTTTCAAGCACACGTTTTTTGAACAAGGGGAAGAATTGCTATTTTCATGGCAGTGTCTTTTTTTTTCTTTTGCCCGCTTCTTCGCTCGAGAGCTCACAGGGGGGGGGGGGGCTCATTTGTCTTCGCACGTTCTGATCTCCCTCCGAAATCATGCTTCTCCAGAAACACTCTTTCTTCTTTGTTACTTCGAACCCAGTTGGTATCCAAGCCGACCTTCCAGTCACGCCTTGTTATATTCAAGTTGATCATACCTTTATCTTCCCTCACCCTGTTCATGTCTCGTTCCTGCAAACACGACGCTTTCAATGTATCACCAGCGTGTCCTTAGCGGCGTGAGCAAGATTCACGTTCCACCGTCTCCTCCCCCAAATGTAGAATGTACGTCGAATATAATCTGTTTAATGACTGCGTTGTAAGCAATTTAAGCAGACAACACTTTTTTTAGGAGTTATTTGCAGTAAAATACATTATTTATTTCGACAAAAATATGTCCTTTTAGTATTAACAAAAATGCTAAATTAAAAAAAAAAAAAATTCCCTCAGATCATCAAATAATTATCATACATGTAAATACGTGCATGCCTACATTTTTGTAGCACTGCATTTGGAATAGAGATGTTACGCAATCAACTCAGTCCGGGACAGAGGAGCTGTTTGACGTCATACTCGGCCTGGTCAATAAAGCACCAGAAGGTACGTACTGTCGGACTGAAGTTTCGTACACCAGGTAAATGGTCAGCGTTACTGGGGATAAGTAATGCTACTTCTGCGAGTCTTTAGCTTTAAAAGTCATGATGTTGCAATATTACCAGACACGAGCATTCGCTCGCAAGCGTTAAACACAGAACTAATTTTAGTAACATTTGCTATGAGAGCATACTAAAAAAAAAAGGTTTATCCCAGTTAGGCAGTTAGGGCCTACTCATAGCCTATGTTGGTTGAAACGATTATTTATATATATATATATATATATATATATACATCTATATATATGTAAAGATATATATTATATTATATATATATATATATATATACAGGGCCGGATTAAGCCATCTTGGTGCCCTAGGCACAAACCCACATGGGTGCCCCCAACTGCTCCGGGCCCCCGATCCTCCACTGACTGCTGGAATGTTCAATATTATGCAAAAAACTTACAAAGAAAAACAGTTGTGAAATGTAAACACATGTGTTTGTATTACTATCACTCATATAAAACCTACAATTAGGTATTTATGTATTAAAATTAATAGATGTGTGATGCTATACACACATTTTTCTTGACGACCTGTGGTGCCCCCCAAAATGCTTGGTGCCCTAGACACGTGCCTTGTTTGCCTATTGGTTAATCCAGAGCTGTATATATATATATAGTATATATCGTCATATATATATATAATGTGTACTCTAATAATTTTGTTATGAAAGTAATAAAATGTTTCAAAACTTAGTTGAAATGAAAATAAATTGAATTTTATTCATAAAACGAACGCTACAAAAATTTAACCTCAAAATTAGAAATTTTCTCCTTAAGTCAATTAAAAAAACTATTTATACTAAATTGGTATACTGAATATTTATTCTTTTGCACTAAATAGAGGTTCTTCTTTTTTACCTTAAAATATAAATAAACACTTCTAGAAGAAAAACATATTTTGACCACATGCAAATTGAAACCTATTGTCGCCGATCTGCGGCCTACTTCTACTACAATACCAGTTGATTATGTTAAAGAAAAACTCATTTTATTTCACACAATACAAGTGATTCCCCTTATCAAACGAAAAAAAGTAAGACCATCAGTTGCACTGATAACTGCTAACACCTGTACGAAATAACACAAACATGTCAAATTGAGTCCACTTTTAATGACTCTCAAGATATTCCATTAAATAGTATACATTTTTTTTTTCGTCAACGCACTGCTTTACGTTGTCTAAAGGCTTCACTTTTTTATGATGTACAATATGATCAACCATGGTTAGTTTCTAATTTTATAATATATAATGTGGTGACTTTTTACAAATAATATGTTATTTATTCTTTTGTTTTGTGTGCTGAAGAAGGCGTTTAGCCAAAAGGTCGTTATAATTGTGCTGTGCTTTTTTTGTTGTTGAAGCCAAAACATAATAAAAGAGCTACATTGTGATCTGGGAACACTTAAGTTTTTCATTTGAAACTATTTGATTTTCTTGTTGTGTATCGTCTGCTGAAGGAGGCATTTCGCCAAAACGTCCTTTTCATTTTTATATCTCTTTTTCAAGCCTCAACACATAATTTTCCACTATTAATTTACAATTATGAGCTGGATTTGAATAGAAATTTAGATTTTAATATCTTTCAAAGAAAAATAAATAAATTAGCATTTCCATTTTACTGAAAGAAAAAATTATTTTGCTTTATTTAGATAAAGTAAATGTCTATTTGTTTCCCCTCATAGGCATCTTAAGCTCAGAACTGGCCGATACAAGCCAAAAAGTGAAAGAACTGAGTGATGCTCTCGCTGGAAGCGGTAAGAACAAACACGTGGAATTAAATGAAAACTTTGATAAAATTCACGACTTGAATAAATTCTCCGCTTTACAAGCGACGGTTTCAGGATGAAACGTTTTGAACCGCAAAGGGCGGATGAAAAAATGTACTGTATTTTGCACAGCAGTGTTTCAGCGAGACGAAACCGTCGGGTTTACAAAAAATTTTTTTAGTTGATCTAAAGAGAGAAACAGTGTTTTATTTCATTTTTTATGTTTAAATTTCATTATCAGAATTGAATCGTGTTCAATTAAAGAATATAATTATGTTCTTTAATTTAAAAAAAATAATTGAATTGAACTTCGTATTTTAGCCTCAGAGGAAGACGTGGCAAGCGTCATCAAGGAGGTCACAGACACACTCGGAGGAGACACCGTGATATCGGCTCTCTTTGATGGTCCGTTTAGTCCATTAATTACTTCACGTTCTCTTGTGATCGTACAAGGCTTATTTTTTCATTGCATATGATTAATATCTTCAGTTTACATAGCGCAATTTAAATGTACCCAATAGCCTATAAGCAGATTTGAAATAGGGAAAAAAAACGTACTTTAAATATGTATTTGAAAACATATTGTTCGAAACTATTAGCGAAAATTATTATTTAATAGAGTGGAAACCTCATACAAAATATGCAGCACTTTGCCAATTTTTTGTTGTTGTTGTTTTTTGTTCTCAAAGCATCAAATTATTTACCCACTCATCATACAATTGCTAATTCTTTATCTATAAATTCAAGCCAAGAGTTTTGTCAATCAATCGCTGTTTTTGTTTCTATTTATTAATAAATCCCCCAATATTTTTTTTTTTGAATTCACAAAAGCACAATTAAAGGTGTAACATACTCGAATTTGTAATTTGTTTTTTTCAAAGATGATCTGAGATACGGAGACAAGATAATGAACAAAGGTCTTTCACTGCTGAAAGGTCTGGTTGATAAAGGACGTGAACTGAAAGGCAAGTTTATTTGGATTCCGGTGTGGATCAAATCAGGAGTCTTTACTTAAGTCAATACTTGAAGATAATTTCGCGATATCTTTTCTTTAACGGCATTTTACACAAATTCCCTTTGCAAACACTCAGTTTGCTGGGGGAAAAAAGGGGTCAAACTGATTGCAGGCGTGTGTGGTGGTTGGTGAGGGAGTGTTCGTCTATGTTCTGCGACTAATCTTGACATATAACTTTAAACTTGCTGTCAAAGAAGCGTGAAACAAAATAACCCCAAACCACGCAATCAGCCAGTGGTGAATCAACTAACTTTAAGTCCAGGCCGAGTCAATCGTCTCTAGGACTTGTAATTTGTACAGCTATACTTTACAGTAGTTATATTATGGGATGTAATATGTCTTTCTTGAAACACATATATCTGTTGTTTTGAAATGTTGCTACTTGATGTATTCCTCAGCATCCGGAAAAGCCATAGACCATGTGTTGGTAGCTATCAGCAAGACTGCCAGCGCTCTGAACGCTACAGTAAAAAACATAGGTTAGAACCCTAGTCAATATACCCTTAGTAAAACACTCTAAGATTTGTTTTATAGCCATTTTCATTGCAACTATTAATATTTTTGACACATGATTTACATCAACCGTTTATATTGATACTAAGTTTGCTGTAATTTTTATTTAAAAAATTCTTGACATAGTTGAAGTGTGTGTTAATTATTTTCTCAAGTATATCTTTGACATCATTGCTGTGGTAAGTGAAATTCGCTTTGGCGTAAAAGTTATTCAGGTCACTTTCGGTAATGATTTTTTGAGTTCGCAAAAATTGCAGGTTCTATTTTTTGGAGTGTACTTAAGACGAGACTTGTTGCCCTGACAGGGGTGGCACTGACATAACTATTTGCATTGCCGAAACTAGCACAGTCTCTTATACATAAAGGTTCTTCTTTTTTAAAAAAGGCACTTATCATCATTATTCAATGTCTTACCGTAGAAATGTGCTATCTGATCATTTCTATTATAAACATATTTTTTGTTACCAATCAGTTGACATAGCTGAGTACGAGAAATCTGGAACCCAGGAACCTGTCAAAGCTGGAAACGGAAGTGACGATGTTCTTATTTTCGCTGATGATCAGCAACCGAAAAGTAACAATGATGTGAGTAAAAGCACAAATCATTTTTTTTTAGACATTAAAAAGTTAATATTTTAACACCTTGTACCTTTTGTAAGGGGGTGCGATGTGTGCCCCTTTGCGTTTCTACCCTGGGGAAGATGTTTGTGCGATGATGTAAAGAAAAATCAACCAAAAACTAATCCGCCACCGCTTGAATGTTTGAAAACAATATTGAATTGGGATTCATTTATTTGAAAGATATCAGTGAATAAATACTTTTTTCTACTTATTTCTTTTTTTTTTTTTAAATTTAATTTGAATACTTAAGACCTATTTGGGGTCAATTGGATAAAAGTAGATACTGTGTAACATTATTATGAAATATATTCCTTAACTTTTGGGCTCAAGACCGGAGTTTTCCCAAAATGAGGTTGTGAGGTGACATTTTATATTGGGTGGGTGGAAAAGGGTTTTTAAGAACAGGGTAGATATGAGCTCTCAAGCTATTCAAAACATATTTATATATTTTTTAAAATAATCTTTCAATAGCAGTTTCCGGTGTGTGATACGTCACACGTCTATCTTCTAAGTTCTACCTTTTTAAGTTAAAAATCCATAAATAATAAATTTAGAAATCTTAGTTACGTTTGTATGGGGTGTGAAACAATATCCTAGGTTGTACGGGAATAGTGAAATTGGAGTTGTGTAGAAAACATTGGAGAAACAATGCTCCATTAAGTCATAGATAAATCGTGAGTATTTCAGAAAGGAAAAAATAATGTTCACTTGTTTCCGGAAATTAAAAAAAGATAAAATAGTTGACTGGCTTATTGTTACTCTTATGTAAACGTTATAATTTTGTATTTTCTGCTAGGATACCTCAGATGGTGTTAAGCAAAGCCGTGAGTGTTCACATTTTTAGCCATTGCATTTTAAATTTAGATCAAATAATTTTTGTTCTTGTCCATGCATAGTGCCTGTTTTTTTGTCATGGTGGTCAGTGTATCTGTTTAGAAACATTGACAGAACACATTGAGGAACACGTGCGTGTTAGGAAGATGGTAGAGGGTTGGATTATCCCGCGTGAAATTATGAGAGGAGTGTGAATAAACTAGGACTCCCTTTGAATAGTGATGTTTATTTTATTCTTTTTATTCTTTTTTTTTTTGACGTGGATGTATTGATAGTTTTGGATGTGTGATAGCCTTTCGTGTGTGTGTGTGTGTGTGTGTGTGTGTGTGTGTGTGTGTGTGTGTGTGTGTGTGTGTGTGTGTGTGTGTGTGTGGCTAGTGGGGGTGTTTGTGTGTGTGTGTGTGTGTGTGTGTGTGTGTGTGTGTGTGTGTGTGTGTGTGTGTGTGTGTGTGTGTGTGTGTGTGGCTACTGAAGGTGTGTTTAGGGTGAAATAACATGGGTCCCGATTGAGATAAGAGTTTGATAGACATAATCCAGATCTTAAGTGTATTTATGTTTTGTTTTGTTTGTATCTTCATTTAGTTTTTATAATTAATTCGTTTATGATTTTTTTTTGTTATGGAGGTGTGAGGGGGTGATGGGATAATGGTCTTTTTCTTTTCTTTTAAGGTTCCTTTAAGATCTGCTTAAGATGGCTTTTGTGGTGGAAAATTTGCGCCGAATGGTCTTAATGGACGCACACGGAGTGTATGAGACGCAACTATTGATTGACACACATTCAAATTATCCATTGAAATAATGAGTTGATTTATAAGTGTATCAAAAATAAACAAAGGGCTTCTTCAAAATATCGTGTTGTTATTATTGCAACATAAATAATTTCAAGGGAAAAAAAAGTCAAAGAATACCATTACAATTTTAAATAGTGTGTTTTAGTTTGAAATATTAAAAAACAAACTACATATACATTATTTAATGCATATGCCAATATTCTTATAGAAATATACTAAATACTGAATAAATATATCAATATTCTACCAACATTTACTTATAATTTATATTAAAACACTGATACATAATACAAATGCATAAGTATACTGTAAAATATTCCAATATATTATATTAAGATGCTTGATAACTATCCAAAACTTATAAATGAAAATACTAAAAACATTTAGCTATAAAGACGATAATGACGAGTTGTGATATGAAAACACTTGATCTGCAAACACAATTCCAACACATCTGTGTATATAATTAAACATTAGACTCTGTTAACCTATGACAGCCTCGTCTAACTCGTGGACTTCCGAACAGCTTACAATCCATATAATATTAGCTCAAACTTGAGATTACCATTACCCATTCCAGATACTTTTTTGCATATTATACAGATACGATTGCACGGTAAATTATCGGAACCAGAATCCCTACGACGAGAGGAGGCACAGAGGAGTTGCTGGAACCTTACACCAACAGCCATGCACTGGTTTGGATTATTTGGTCTTGGGTGGCAGCCCATGCTTGGAGAAGTAAAAGTCGAACTTGTAACATCCACGTCACTACGCCTGTGTCCTAAATGCAAAAAAGAAATGCAAAAAAAAAAAAAATATGGCTACGAAAGTATACACCGGTAGTGTTATGGTAAAAAAATGGCTATGGAAGTATACACCGGTAGTGTTATGGTAAAAAAATGGCTACGGAAGTATACACCGGTAGTGTTATGGTAAAAAAATGGCTATGGAAGTATGCACCGGCAGTGTTATCGGTAAAAAAATCTGGACAACGGATTAATACTGACGTCATTCCAGATACAAACTAAAAGGCAGATGGTTTACATATTTTATTGTGTTCTGTCATCCCCTGGTCCCATCAGTTGAAAAGTGCGACACTTGATTAACAAAACAACTGCACCACCAATGTATTTTGGTGTTGTTGTTTTGTGTTTTTTTTATGGATGTTTTACAGCTTCACTTGAGGTAAAACCCCCCACATCTTCTAAGTGAACGTAGTCACAAATTTGAATTCAGTGTTGATAGATTATTAACCTTGAACATAGGTGGGTTTTTTTTAAATTTAAAAATTATACATACTTGTAAACAATCAAGTTTTAATGAAAATTATAATATGAAAAACTGAGGAACTATGTAAAAATACTACGTATTCACATACATTATGGGCTTTTCGTATAATCTGGGTCTTCGTTATATGAAAACTAATATTATAAAAGCAAGCAATTTCTTAAATCCAAATGAAAATTTCAGTAAGTTAAATTTCATCCTGATCTTGTTAAAAATATTGTAATTTACTGTGCATTCTTAAATGAATGCAAAAGATTATCCGGGAGGAATAATGCTAAACTTAAGTTTGATTTAATATTATAAAAAAAATAAGTATACAACAAATTCCTGCAAGTAACATCATACAAAGTCTGAATAATTAAATAATCGTTAAATCTGACACATTCAAATGTCATTGCTAAGCTTGGTTATGTTTAAAAATGAAAAAAATAAGTTTATTCCCAAAAGGAGATTACACAAAAAAAAAAAGAAAGAAAAAAATACAACAAGACGAGAGATATTTAGGAAAATATTGTATGCATTTTAAAACACCTTTACGTTCAAACATGAGATTAAAATTAACATTAAATTTTCATATGTACGAGCTTCTGAAAGTCTAGCGAAATGGCATTAAATACAGATTTGAAGGAGCTTTTATCATTTTTAATTTTTATTTCACGGTACTGCTTCCCTATGTCTTCCATGATCTGTTTCTGCCTTCGGCGCTCCTCGGCGAGGTCTTCACTTAAGTTTTTCTCTCTTGCCAATTTCTTTCTCTTCACTTCATCTTCTATCTCCTTCATTTTGTTTTTATGATCCTCGTCAATCTTTTGTCTTCGCTCTGCGTCCGTTAATTTCTCTGCAATAAGCTCCTCGTATTCCTGTCTTTGCTTCTTCAATACTTCTTCAAAAAATTGGTGTTGCTTTTCTTCTTCGATGATCAGTTTTTGATTTTCTTCAATTAATCTTTCGGTTATCAAAATATCATCGTCAATCGCCTTTGTAATTGTCTGCACTGTTTTTTGTAAATCACACAGGACCCCTGTTCCTTCATCCTGAGACACTATCTTATCGTAGACGATCTGAATTCGTTTTTGCAGCTCTGTCAAAGGATATAAACTCTCTTCAGGCTTCTTTTTCTTGACCATCTCAAGCTTCTGAAGTATCAAACTGATTTCTGTCATCCATTCCTGCTGAATGAACGACTTGTTGTTTTCCAGAGACAGCTTTTTGCGCGCCTCTGACGCCTGCTCGAAGTTTTTATCCGTGTATCGCAATTCAAGCCAGCGGAGATCGTCCACCATTTTGATGAGCTCGGCCAGCTGTTTCATCCGTAGAACTTCATCTTTCGTCCGATTGTCAAATAAAATTATTCTGTTGCAACATTCATCGACGAGTTGCTGAAAGACTCCAGTCTGCTTTGCACACCACTCCTCAAAAGTCGACACACCGTCTTCGGGGCTAAAGAAATCCCCACAGGTTAAAACTAGAATACAGTAATTCTTCACGAATTTCTCCCCGAATATTTTCTTCAAAGCTATTATAACGCCTTGGTCCTCGGCTGTGAACCTTCCACCAAATCTTGTCACAAGCAAAAATGCGTGAAACCCAATGGGATTCACTCTAATTGCTGTCTTCATGGCCTGTGTAACCATGTCGGTCGCCTTGTCCATTTGCAAGTCTGTGTCGGTGAGACCCGGTGAATCAAAGACCCTTATCGTTCTGCCATTGAATTTGCCTACGCCTCGCTGTATGTTCTTGGTAACTGAAACCATACTGCTTTCAGTCGTGAAACATCTCCTTCCTAAAATGCTGTTCCCCAAGGCACTTTTGCCATTTCCTGTTTTCCCTATCAAGAGAAGATCTATGTCATCTTTGAATTGATTCATCGTAGAGTCTATGAATAAAAACAAATCGATAAATCAATCAATTAAAAGGGAGTTTAAAATAAGTACAATAAGTAATATTAATTCTTTTAAAATTTATTTTGTTGTTGTTGAAGTCTTTAAAAAATCACAACCTTTTAAAATACTTTTGAACAGAGATTAGGTGTTAGCAAAAAGAATAGGAAAACGGGCTTCATTTAGTGATGCCTTTTAAAAAAATAAAAGATGAGCCGTTCTGCATTCCCTTAGCAATATTTTTTATTTAAAGAGAGATGAACTAAGTTGTAAATTACGTATTTTATACAACATATAATTACTACATTTTATATTCCAATATGGAAAAAAATATTTTTTTTTAAAAGATAAAAAAAAAACACAATTAAACCAAAAGGAAAATTGAATTTGTTCTTCGCTAATGCCTAAAATATTAAAAATTTAAAGACAAAAGTTACACAAAGAGAGGAAGGCAATAATTTAATCGCTAGAAGTATTTCACTATGTTTGAAATAAAAATTTAAAGAAAAATATAATTAACAATCAAAATTAACATATGCATCTTACTAGCAATAGAAACTCTTGCACTAGTCTATATCCAATGATTATTGTAACTCCTCCTTCTGATCAAATGAAGGACCGACAACCATGGGCTTGAAAATATTTGTTTTTATTGCACAACATATTTTTCAAGAAATATGATTTTCAAGAAAATTTTTACAATTTATTTGTGAAACCATTTCCTGGAAAATCGACAAAATCATGCATATAAAGCACAACTTGTCGTAGCCTATCAAACATTGTTGTCCTACGGAGCAGACTAGACTATGCGTGTTGGCTGGGCGGGAAATAGAAGAAAAGAAGTGCTGGGACCTAGATCCAGAAAAATTGTACACCGTGCGAACGTGAGGGGGATTACCTGCGCCAACCTGATCCTTACACAACGTCTTTGTTAGGCCCGTTGTTGGGTGGGGGTTTCTTAGCTAAAAATTATGGATCGATACGATAAAAATGTACGGGTAGATCGGGGGAAGTGCGGTTTCAAGGGTGTTAGAAGGGGCGCCCAATTTTAGCGCGACATTCTGGAAGTGCAAAAATCGTTAATTTAACAAAAAAAAAAAAACATAAAAATGTATGTGTGTGTTTATGGTTTTTCCCGGCTTTGAACTGGTTAAATTTTTTTCTCGCGCACGGTCCTGATTTGTTAGAATAATTTAGCAAAGTTAACTTTTGTCATAAGATGTTTCATTATTATTTTCAGTTATTATTCGCCTTGTAACACATGTTTCATGAAATGTTAATGGTCCAAAATATCGTTAAAGTAAATAGATAAATATGTATTTTATATATATATATAT